TGGAGTTCCATTTGAAGAAAGACTGTGTATCTGTGGTGCACCAGCTGTTGAAGACATTGCATATATCCTCTTTGATTGCAAATTATATTCTGCAGAAAGGACTGTTTACCTAGATTCTTATTGAAAAACTAAACGGTACTGAGGCACCCAGGAAAAACCGTCTTACTTTTTGCAGGGAACGAACCTGTGTATCACTAGTAAGACAGCGCTCTTTATATCAAAGGCTATTTTGAAGAGGGCAGACTATCTAGATCAGACTGGGGTTAACTATAGGGGTGATGACTTATTATGAATATGTCCCACTATTTTCTTTATGTTTACTTGTATACTTGTATTGGTTTTATACTTTTGATATGGTCACGTGACTAAATCAATAAAGTTTCTAATCTATTCGATAAGATATCCATGTGAATCAAAACAGCAGCCCTATTTGAGATCTACAAAACCGGGATAAAGTACTTTCCCTTAAGTAGAAGTACATTTTCCTACTAAATGCTGTGGGATTAAACACTGAGTCAGCCGGCCAGCTCTAAATCCTATATATTTCTCCACTGATATATTTTCCTGCTCTGTCTAATCTAGCAGCTTCCAGTATGGTGTATAGTTTGCTGATAAACCAGCCAACTAATGAAATGATAATTAGCTGGAGCACATTTCTTGCCTTTTTATAAATAGGGGTAATGATTGATAGACCCAGTCCTTAAGTGTGCATGTTACTTGAGAAACCCAGGTTAAAAAGGTTGCCAGAACAGAGGCTCACCAATCTAGATTTTCTTTAATTGATTCTAGAGCCATATTATCTCTCCCTGAGATTTTCCCAGCTTTAGTCAGCAGCTTCTGTGTCTCTAAAGTAGAAAAAATTGACCACAGGTAGTCCTTGTTTAGCGACTACCTCGAATAGTGACCATTCGCAAATACGAAAGTGATAAAAAAGGTAATTTTGCAACCAATGTGTGCATGTATGACCTTTTATGACCTTTGCAGCATCTCTTTCTGTCTCTTTGTCACACATTCGCCATTACAGTTAGTATGGTATCACATATAACCTGCTTTTATTTTCACTTGCTTATTTACTGTTTACGCGCATTTATACCCCATACCAAGATGTCTTCAAAGAGAAAGAACTCCATTCAGCTGAAGGAAGTAGCAAGAAGAAAAAACCAATTTCAATTTGAAGATGAAGATCATCAGAGCATATGATGCTGAGAAGAGGGTAACTATTATAGCACAAGAAGAAGGCCTGGCCCATTCTACCATCTCCAGTATTTTGAAGGATAAGGAAAAGATCAGAGAGGCAATGAAAGGATCAGCAGGAATGAGAGAAGTTATAATAAGACAGCGAAAAGGCCTTATCCACGAAAAGGAAAAACTTTTACTTTGAATCAAAGATCAGTTATAAAAGAGGATGCTGATTGGCCTTCTCATTCAGGCTAAGGCACGCAGAATTTTCAACACACTGAAGGAACAAGCAGGTGAAGAGTGCCCTGAAACGTTCACTGCCAACTGTGGCTGGTTTGTGAGATTTCAGCAAAAGTTTCATTACCAAAACACACACACAGAACAGGTGAAGCTGCAAGTGCTGACGAAGAAGCTGCCAAATGTTTTCTGGATGAACTTGATGATATGGTAGCAGAAGAGAACTATTTGCCTGAACAGGTATTCATTGTGGATGAAACTGGGTTATACTGGAAAAAAATGCCAGAGTGGACCTACATACACAAAGAAGCCAAAGCAATGCCTGGATATAGATAGGCATTTAGGGATAGAGTAACCATACTATTGGGCAGAAATGTCGCCAGATTCAAGCTGGAGTAATTTCTGATCCACAAATCAGATGACTCCTGTGTGTTCAGAAACATAGGTGAGCCCGTACTGCCTGTTTATTAATGATCCACCGGGAAAGCTTGGATGACGCAAATACTCTTTGAGGATTGGTTTATGAATTATTTCATAAAGGAATATTGCTTGCAAAAAAGAATTCCTTTTAAAATTCTCCTGCCTCTTGACAATGCACCTGAACATCCCTTGCACCTTAACGATCTCCACCCAGATGTAAAGGTAGTTTATCTACTAAAAAACACCACCCTTGTCCTACAGCCTATGGTCCAAGGAGCTATCTCAATATTCAAGGCATAGTATTTACATGCAACATTTGCCAAAGCCATAGCTGCAACGGAGGATAAAACAGTAACATTGCCCGAGGTTTGGAAAGACTACAGTATCCTCCATTGCATCAAAAACTTTGCAGCAGCTTGGCAGGATGTTAGTGTGAAATGCATGCAAGGGATTTAGAAAAAGTGTTTACAGGTAGTCTTCAACTTACAACCACAATTGGAACGGGAACTTCCATTGCTAAGCAATGCAGTTGTTAAGTGAGTTGTGCCTGATTTTATGAACTTTTTTGCCGCAGTCATTAGGTGAATCATGACTTATCTGGCTTCCCCCATTGACTTTGCTTGTCACAAGCCCCTGGGAAGATTGCAAATGGTGATCATGGATGCTGCAACTGTCGTAAATACATGCTGGTTGCCGAGCGCCTGAATTTTGATCATGTGACTGTGGAGACGCTGCAATGGTAATAAGTGCGAGGACTGGTCGTAAGTCACTTTTTTCAGTACTGTCATAACTTCAAACGGTCATTAAACAAATGGTTGTAAGTCAGGACTACCTGTACAACATTTTGCTGCTCTTGTAAATAATTTTGAAGGATTTGACCAAAATGAAGATTTGGATGAAATAAATGAAAAAAATTTGACACAGAATCCCTTGATTTAGAGATTGATGCTGAAGATGTGAAAAATTTTATAGCCTACACTGAGGGAGATTTTTCAAATGATTTAATCAAACTAAGAGAAGACTTGGAAGCACAAAGGGTTGAAGAAGTAGTTGAGCCCAAAAAGTTCACTGTGAAAAGATTGGCTGGCGTTTTCTTGTTGTCAGCAAAACTTTATCCGAATTAGAAAATATGGATCCAAATGTAGAATATTTTAGAAAGGTACATCAGGGAATACATGAAATTTTAAAGTGTTATTGTGAAACATATGAAGAAAAAAAGAAAAAAACATGTAAACCAAATTTAGTGGATTCTTTAAGAAAGTTACTCCTTCCTCGACTCTGCTTCCCTTCCCTTCCTCAGGAATAGAAGACCCAGATGATCCTCAGCCATTAACCAGCTATGTTAGCGTATCCAGCATTTTCAAAAACAGAGAAAAAGACAAATGTTTCAAAGGATTTATGTCCAGTTAATTAGTTTACAGGTATTATAATTGTAAAATCTGATTTTGTACTCTCTTTTATTTTTGTAGCGTAATATTATTTTGCCTAATTTTGTACTTATGTTAGAATTAAAGAGATCTTTGAAGAAGAATGTACAAAATTGTTGTTAAAAATGTCTATTTCATGAAGGATAACAGAAATTGAATATAGAAGGCCGAAGTAACATACACAGTTACGGTCACGTCTAGTGATTTTAAAATCTAAGTGTTTTTCACTTAGTGACCATTTTGCTTAACATTGAACAAATTGTGGTTGCTAAATGAGGACCACCTGTACTCAGACAAGGAGCCAAGGTTGACCTCTGATGGCAGCTGCTTTCATTTTGCAAAAATAGAGGAAAAACACACTTCCCATGTATTTCCTGGAATGTATGTGTCCAGCTTGGGTCCATGCCCCTTTCCCCAGATGAGATCTGGCTGAAATACAGCAGAAGGTAACAAGAGTTCTTGGAATTGGAGGCCTGAAAAAGATGCCCTCAAGTGACCCCTGCTTTTCCCTTTTTTCTTTCTTGAGCTTTATATGATTTTATTTTGGCAATTTAATATATGCAGTAGGATGGTCCAATTACTTAATCTGTATAATTTATACTTTGCAATTATGATATTAACTGCTGCAATAAAATCAAATCAGTGTTTAGAAGGAGTAATTATTCTGTTAGAATCATCAACATCTTTATTTGTCTAAGGATGTCTCCAATTGCTGGGTTAACTTCTGAAATAATTCCAGAACTACCCTTGGCAAAGCCTCAGTAATTAGGGAAATGGGAGTTCAAAACAATTTTCCCATTTAAGAAGCTCTGAAATTACATTAGTCATCTTTTAAGACAAGCTAAGTTGGGCACATCCTAAATTGGCAGGAATGATCCCGAAATCGTTTTTTTTTTTTTTTGCATACTCGAGTGCAAACTAAAGGAAGATGTTAACCTGATGGGCAGCAACTGACATTCAGTTGAACAACTGATTCGTATAATTGGCAGGAGAGGTTAACATCTGTGACACTGCCTCAGTTGCTAGACCATAGTCTATGTTCCCTGTTACTGTGATCATCCACATTCCAAATGAAAATAAAGAAATCTGCCTTTAAGACATTTGGGCCAAACAAAAAACCTGCAAATTAACACATCTATCTTTAGATTGTCACCTCGGGATAAAATTAAACCCATCACTTTCAGGGAGGCAACTATTAAAATGTGACTGTATTAAAAGATCATTTGGACTGATTCTGCTGTTAAAATCTCAGCTAAAATGAGAAAAGCACTGGGGGTAATACCTCTAATTTGCCCCAGATCTCTCTCTTCCTATCCGCAGTCAATGTGGAGGAAGATAAATATTAATGCTAAGTCACTTCAGGATTTAAACTTAATGAAAGTTATATCACAGAGGATGCAAAATGAGATTGAAAATGAAGTCTGTAAGTATTAAGGAGGCCTCAGTTTTCAACCTGTGCTTGTTCTTTTCAGTCCCATCCAAAGAGAACAAGTCAGGAATCCTTTCACTTCAGTTATAACATCTTCTGTTGGTTCTGCTGGACTCCTCCTCCTTCATATCGGTACTCAGCTAGTGCACGTTACTTTCCATGAGGTCAGGAAGCTACGTAATTCCTTCTTGATCCTTATCTAGGAATTGTATGGATTCTTAGATCAGATTCTTGCTGGCCTTTCCAGCCTGAGGATTCTTGAAAAAGAAGTGTAAATTAACAGATTCCAGAAGCAAAGAGGACTCTGTAAAATTTAATATTGTCAATAATCGTTCCCAGGTGCTTTGACTACAGCCTATATATTTGTTGAAGTATGGTTAAGGCTCTCTAGCTTTAGTAAGTTCCTCATCCTTCAGCAAGGAATAAAAAGAGTAAATCAGTCTGATTTCATTTAAATCACCTGGTGTCTCTTTCAGTAGAACAGGTACAGAACAATTACTTAGGTTTGGCCTTGTCAAGGACTCCGATAACTACAGGAAAAGATTTGAAACATTATTGGCTAGCATTACGCCCACAGATTTCAGATTCTGTTGAGTGTAACCCAAACTACAATCTGGCTACATATGAGTGAGTGAATAGCTTTTGTCTTGTCAAATCCTTTTATTTGATGATTTAAATGCTGAGGCCCAGTTTGAATCTGTTATCTAGCTTATCTCAAGGCTGACTAGCATCAGCCCAAAGATTCTACTTTTATAGAGAAAGTCTTGAGTATTTCTGTAGGAAGATGCAGTGATACATTTTAATTCACCCACATATTTTGCTAACTGCCATTGATTAATCCAAGATAGCAATTAGTGTCTCATTGTGAAGAAATACTCATAGCCATAAAATATGCTAAAACCTTTTTTGGGAGCATCTCTTCCTGACCACAGCTCACAGATAGAGTTTCTCTCATCAGCTGTTCCGTCATTATGTTTGGCTAGTTCTTCAAGTACAAAAGTAAGTTCTAATGGAAAATAATTCCCTGTTTTCCACATATAATAACTGTCCAAGGTAGGGAAGGAATTTAAATTACTGTTTCCTTAGGCAAAAAAGCCCATCAATTTTTATTTTTGTCACTGCCCTCAAGACCGTGTCACTTAACGATGGAGTTGCCAGTCCCAATTACCATTGTTAACTGAGGACTACCTGCACTAGATTACAGGTTGCAGTTTTGGGGTAGCTTTCAATGTGCCTTATGTGGTGCATTATAGTCATCTAATGTGGACAAATTTTGATGAATTTGTCACTGGTAAGTTCTCCAAATATTAGCTTCTTCTGTGAGCTTTTGTACTCCTCAGTCAAAGCAATTGAACCTTGTCAGCATTACTGCCCTCAGCACTTTCCAGAATGTCTGGTACTAAGTGAAAAAAGAACTGTAAAACTGTAAAAGCCGAAGTAATACATCTTTGGAAAATTTAAATCGTCTGCAGGCAAAATACAGTCAATTGGGTTCAGTCTTTGTCCATGTATCAAAAAGAAGGATATTTTTGCAGGTTCTACTCATTACTATAAAGTATGATCTTGTTTTAGATGTTATTATTAAGTCATCAAAAAGCAAAACAAAAGGAAGACCACACGGATATAAAATGCAGTTAAAAACTAATGGTAGTGCTGAAAACAATTTCAGAGAATAAGCACAAAATATTGGCAGTTAAACCACCTGAGAAAAATAAAAAGGACTCACGTAGGGTTTTAAAAACACAAATGTAGATCAGCTATTCCCAGCTGGAACAATGTCACATGACCATATCGACTTACAATGGCAGTTGCAGCAGTTCCAGTTGCCATTGTTAGGTGAATCCTGCGTAGTTGCAGCATCCCGTGGCCATTTGCGACCTCTGGCTGGCTTTCCCATTGACCTTGCTTGTCAGAAGCAAGCAGTGAATGTACTGGATTACAACCCTTATAATTCCTGGTTGGCTGTTGGGAGGGGCTATAGTCCAGCATATTCAGGAAGGACTGATTTGGGGAAGGCTGATGTCATATGCCACATTTCTTTGGATGAGAGAAGTGAGAAGTGCATAAGTAGAGCATCACAGTCAAAAAGATCATTCCCTTGAAGCTAAGAATCTGGCCTAAGAATTTGAAGAAGAAACTCTGGAGAAGATCTTTGCTGGTGCCAATTGTCTTGGAAAAAGTGGAGTTCTAAGCTCAGGCAAAGTAAGTCATTAGTACCCAGTCCCGTCAGTTCAGAATCCTGCTACAGGTAGTCCTTGTTCAGTGACCACTTGTTCAGTGACTGTTCAAAGTTACAGCAGTGCTGAACGAGTGGGACTTACGGCTGGTCCTCGTAGTTGTGGCCATCACAGCCTTCCCGCGGTCATGTGATTGCGATTTGAGTGCTTGGCAACCAGCTCGCAGTTACAACAGTCACAGCATCCTGCAGTCACATGATCACCATTTGCGACCTTCACTGCTTGCTTCTGACAAGCAAGGTCAATGGGAAAGCCAGCCGGAGGTCGCAAATGGCCACCATGTGGCCACAGGATGCTGCAACTACGCAGGATTCACCTAACAATGGCAACTGGAACTGCTGCAACTGCCATTGTAAGTCGATGTGGTCATGTGACATTGTGCTTTACGACCGTGTCACTTAACGATGGAGTTGCCAGTCCCAATTACCATTGTTAACTGAGGACTACCTGCACTAGATTACAGGTTGCAGTTTTGGGGCAGCTTTCAATGTGCCTTATGTGGTGCATTATAGTCATCTAATGTGGAGGTTACCAGTGCCTTGACTCTCTTCATCAAGATGGAGTTGTAGTTTGCCTTAGTTTGTTGCTGAAAGACATTTCCTGCCATGTGAAAGTCCAGAAGCCAAACTGAGACAGGAAGAAACTCCAGAGTGCAAAAGTCCTTTAGTGCAAATGTTACTGTTTTCAGAATATGTAAAATGTGATTTACCTGGAGAGATGAATTACATTCTTAAACCACTTCATCCCAGACCCCAGAGTAATTGTGCTTTAAACATATCTGGGAGCTGAGCTGCTGCATTAGTTGAGACCTTTAGCCAATGCCCTAGTCATGACAAGGAATGGCTTTGAAATAGTGCCCTATTTAATCCAAACTGGGGGAAATGGCAGCATATCTAAGGTTATTTTGGATACTAATGGGTACTAAGCTGGCATTTTTTGCTCTTCCTCTAGATCATGGAAGTCTACAGCCTGGGTGGAGTGCAGCCCCTCTCTCAGTTGGACAGTGTCTTGCGAGAGTTCTTGGCTGAGCTGAATGAGATCCCCCTCCCTGCTCATTGGGAAGTATTGCCTCCACTGGGCAGCCCAGACCTGCGTCTCATCCAGCGCTCGAAACACTCCACTATGTCTGCCGCAGTCATTCACATCCGCCCAGGCCTTTTTTTCCATGTGGTGGTGCAAGACCTGCTGGTGCCTCAGGAACATGAACTTTACGCCAGCCACCCTGCCCGCCTGACCACAGTTGATGAGGTGGTGGAACTGATCTGCGACCTGGAGGCCTACCAGCTTTGTTCGGGTTGGCCTGCAGGGTGGCATGCTGGAGAACGGTCTGAGGCCTGTGATATTCTTGTGTATTCAGGCTGCTGCCCACAGTGCCGTCTCAACCCCTGGCCATCAGGAAGCAGCACTCACTGAGAACCAATCTGGCCAAGGAAATTTGGGGACAGACTCAGCCTTCTGGGTTGAGAATGGGCAGAAGTTTCATTTTGACACTGGAAATGGCTTGGATTTCTAAAAGGATGATTCCTTGCCATAAATAGCTTTATTTTTTTTTTTCTCATGTTCACTAGCTTGGCACAAAAAGATATATTCCCCTTGTTGTCTTCTCTCTGGCTTTTCCCCCTGCTAACTTGCTTCTGCATTTCTGGTGTTAAGAGCAGTTTGTTTTGAAGACTAAATTCCAGTCGTGCTTCAGCCATTTTCTCATTTCCTGCTAGAGAGTTACCGGGTGGACAGTGTGCATCACAGCAACTTGTGCTGACCACCAGTTTTGTGTACTTTTAAAACTTTATGTACTTGGCAATGTAGTGTTATAGGTTGATATGATGGGTATGTGGTTAATGCATCAGTTTGGGATCTGGTTTCCATTGTTTTTGCTTGCCTGGCCCCACTCTGCCATATCTAGCACTGGCCTGGTGAACTACAGATCCACACACAGTATGACCTTCACCAGATCCAGGAAGAATGGGATTTTATAGTAGAATCTCCTTCTTCGACAGAATCCCTATGGTCAAGACGTTTTCCCAGATGTGTTTAGAACTTGAATTGTTGCCTCAGGCACGTTTTCCTTTGTTTCAGTATTGTGGAGCTTGGATGGTGAATTCTGTTTGAGGATCAGCAAGACTTACGCTCTGGGGAGCAGGAAAGGTCCCACAAATGTTGCTTGAGAGGAAGTGGCTGAGCTGCCATTCTATATGCTGAGAGATTCCAGCATGTTCTGTTCAGGGAAGTTCTACAGAAGCCATAGCTGTATGTCACTTGCTAATTTGTGCTTTTGTTTCATGTCTTCCTTCAGTGTAGCAGGTGGCCGCAGCAGCGGCCACCCCTGCCTGCCCCTCCCTCGTGCCTTTTGCAGTCTGTCCGTTTTTCTTGATGTGTGATATTTTTTCTTTCAGAAGGAAAGAATGAAACTATCCTCAAAGAATTATCAATCAGAACTGGCCTCTATTTTTTTTTAATGTATTAAAAATTTGAAACAGCAAGTGTTTTTTTTTGTTGTTCTTGTTTCTCTTTAGGGTTAGAATTCCCAGACTGGTTTGGGAGCACATGGGAGAGAGGCTGCTGTGCAAATTTGCCCTTAGTCTTGATTCCTTTATTTTTTTTATGACCGATATGCACACAGGGGTGAGGATAATATGGCCCACTGGCCATTGATTCACAAATTTCCTGCTGAAGCCACATGGGTTCAGAATTGTACTGGGAATGTTTTTAGCTTACCTAAAATGGCGGCATGTCTATTGAGTCAAGCTATGGGGTCTCACAATTTCATGTTCTCATGGCAACCTCTATGAAATAATAACTTTTATTGGAGTTTACAGTGGGTGGGTGGGGACTATAAGGATAACATTCTCTTAAAGTGGTTTCTCAGGGTTGCATCCTCCAATTTGTGGTCACTTTTACTATTGCAGCTTTGTTTTCCTTCAGGACTGTAGACCATATCAATGTCACGTTGATATTTCTTTGTTTAGGTTATTTATATACCAGTTTTCAGGACAAATATCCTTCGAAGTGGCTTACAAACAGTGTATGCTACTTAAAGAAAGATCTACTGTTAGGATTCTTCTTACTGGGCAGTGGGTGATATAACAGCTGTGGTGGGGGAAGCCTGCTGATAAAATGCATATTTAGTATATGAAGCCCAGATCCAGAAGATGTTAGAGGAGAATGGACATCACAGTTCTTTGCTTGGAAATTAGTCTGGTGACTGTGAACTAGGCATTCTCCACTTGAAATGTCGCCTTTTGTTGCAAAGTAGCTAATCTACTGAAGCTACTCTCTGATCTCCATCAACGCTACAGGGAAGTGACCAGTGTTTACAGCTGGGTTGTAAGAATTCCTGAGTTGCTTTCTTCAAGTATATTTGAAGTGGCAGTGGAAATGTCTTTTGGGGTAGAAGGTACATAATTGGGGCAGACGGAGAACATGCCATGTGGAATGCCATTGATACTGAAATTTCTGAATTATCATAACTCTCTAGTGGTCTTTTGGATTCTATCAGGTTAGTGGAAATCCCATGAAACAATTTCTCAGACTGACTTTTTAGCAATTTGATTGTCTAAGAATGTCTTTATTTTGATGATCCTTTCAAAAGAGAAAAGATGTCAGTTTTTTCTGGCAGTGCTATGGCTTTGAAGAAAAATAAATAAAAATCCTTCAGTCTGCAACTTATGACAGACACCTCTTTTTAAGGTCTAGAGAAGGATTAGAATAGAATAGAATAGAATAGAATAGAATAGAATAGAATAGAATAGAATAGAATAGAATAGAATAGAATAGAATAGAATAGAATCTTTATTGGGCTTGATGACAGTCCCTAAAAAATCCTTGGATACATAAAATTGATATTGATTAGCTAATTAGGCAAACATATCAAACTGCTATACATCGTACATATTACATAGCAAAATTTGGCCATACTTAGGGAAACAGAGTCATTTGAATCTGAAAGTAAAAGATTTAAATAGAACTGATCAGAGTGACCAGGATATTTCATTAGGTGTGGAATTAGCAGCTCACAGTGAGTGTCGGCATAAAATAGACAGTACAGTAAGGCACGTTCGGTGGTTTATATGGCTCCTTCACCATATGGGCAGAGTCTGGATTCAAATGGGATCCCTTTGTATCTCCCCTCTAAAATCGCTGATAAGGTAAGGGCTCTCCTTAGATTAGAAACAGTGATTTGATTTAAATAAGTAGCAGGTCTCTAAGGAGCGTGAGTGCTACTTAGAAATACAAGTAGTCCTTGCTTAATGACCATTCGTTTAGCGACTGCTTAAAGTTACAATAGCGCTAAAAAGTGAGTTAGGACCAGTGCCCAAAATTACAACTGTTGCAGCACCCCTACAGTCATGTGATCGCAATCTGGGTGCTTGGCCCTTCCGATGGTTGCAGCGTCCCAGCGTCCCAGGGTAGCCATTTGCTACCTTCCCAGCCAGTTTCCAGGAAGCAAAATCAATGGGGAACCACATGATTCATTTATTGACCACAGTGATTTGCTTAACAACTACCACAAGAAAGACCTGCTAGGGAGAAGAGCAGTTTAGTCCAATATGTAAAAATATGTATCCAGGCACTAGATTCAATCTTACTAATGCTGGCCTTGTGGCATAAGATTGCATTTGAAACATAACATGGGACTTGGAATAGGATCCTGAGGAACTTAGTCTGTCCTCTTTTGAAGGGGACAAAGGACTTGTATGGGCCTATCTGTGCACTGAATAATAATTGTGTTTGAACTTGGGCTGAATATACTTGAAGTGCAGCAGGAATATACAATGTCCCTTTGGTATAGAAGAAAATTTGGAAGGCTGTGGCTGAGAAAGATTGTAATTTAAGAGAATACTCACTCCCTTTTTATCTTGGCTATATATTTTAAGAAGTCTTGCCATCCTAGGTCATATATAAACTACTCAGAGTTCATAAAACCATTGGGTATAATTGGCTTATTAAAAAGAGATAATTAATTCTGAGGAGGAGACAAAGGGCTGCATGTCTTTCCCTCTTTCATACACATATACAACGGTGCTTAAAAATTTGTGAACCCTTTTGAATTTTCAATATTTCTGCATAAATATGGCCTAAAACTTGATCTCTTATCCACACAAGTCCTAAACTAGATAAAGAGAATCCTATTAAAAAATGAGTCAAAAACATTATACTTGTTCATTTATTTACTGAGGAAAACGATCCACTGTATGTCCCGTGGCAACCCAACTAAGGTGGATTAAATATTTTGACTATGTGGCCATGCCTAAAGTATTCAGCTCTATTTTTATGTCTGTTGGAACCATCTCCTTATAGTAGCTATGAGGGAGAAATCACCCCCAACTCCAAATCCATATCTGAGTGCTTTTAACTAACCTTCTAACAAGATTTTAAGTCTAAGTATACAAGTTTCTAACCTTTCAGGTGTAAGGTTTACCCCGTTCGACTCAGAGAAACTCTCATGACACATGTGTTCAGCAAAGTTTACTCAAGCATAACGTATGTAATTACAGACAAAGCCAGGACTGGCTTGGCACATTTTACAATACAATTTATAGTTCCCCATTCCCGCGCTTAGCCCCTGTTGCTTGGTTACAGATTACCTGCAGTAATCCCCCCCTTTACTCAAATGGCAGATTCAATCCAGCTCTTTTGTTTCCTTGATTGCGTTCTATCGATGGCGTTGTTGTTGTAGTCGCTGGGTCTTTCTGTTGCTCGCAAAGCCGGGAGTTCCCAATCGTGCTGATTGCTTTACCTCTAATCCGCCGCTCTCCCCTTTGTCTACAGTGCCCGCGGCAATTTGGCGTTGACACAAAGTATCTGCTTGCAGTTTAGTTAAGTGGCACCAGCTGGCCCATTAATCAGTTCGCGGTTTCTCACTTCCCCTTTCCTTGCTAGCACTCAAGCAGTGAAACTGACTAAGCGCGGCTGGGCAAGTTCCTAGCCGTGCCGCGCCGGCTGAATCTGACATCAGGCAGATGAGGCCTGAATAACCAATGGTGGGACCAGCTGAGTATGGGTCAAGAAGCTGGACATACATACCAATCCAAACTAATCTGATTAGTCAGGCTTCCTCCTGAACACAGTCCTCAGTACTTTTTTTTAACAATAATTTTTATTAAAGTTAAAAATACAGAGATAAAAAACAGAGAAAAATATAAAAAGAAAAAAAGAAAAAAAGTGCAAAGGGAAATGAAAACGGGCAGGGAGAGGAAAAAGAAAAAATATCAAAAGAGGAAAGAATATGTAAAGAAATGACTTACCCCTTCATCAAGACAAGTACAATTTCAGTACCTTACCACCTTCTCTAACATTTCAACCAAAGACCTTTTCATCCCGTATCTTATCTTTTATCTATTAGTAGATAATAAAACCTCATCATTCAATCTTAATCAGCAAAACACCGTTAAGGGTTACCAGAAATAACAATATATATAATATTAAACAAGAAATCAATTTCCTTTCCTTTCCTTTCCTTTACACAGTAACTTATTTTTTCTAAAAATAAAACAACAAAATCTCTTCTCATATTTTATCTTATACCTATAAGCAAACCTATAAAGCTCATTGTT